GTCCTGATCAGTTTACTGAAGGAGAATGCCAAGGGTTTATATAATATATATTTAGGAGCTTGAACTGGTTCCCGTCCTGATCAGCTTACTGAAGGAGAATGCCGAGGGTTTAGATGATCTTCAGTTTAATCTGGGAAAAATTCAGGTAACAAGTTATTTAAAAAAAAAGTTTGAAATATTGAAAAATTACACCATCAGGCTGTAAAGATGATTTGATTTTGAGGCAAGTGTTCAGTTCCTTTACTTTATTGTTTATTGGAATTGTTTATTTATTTAAAGAGTCTTCAAGTTTTATAGTTTCTGGTGACTCTCTATTCAAAAATACCTGATTCACAATGGTACTCTGAATACCTTTGTCTGATCAAGTATAAATGAGATATCAATGTTTATAATTTTGAAAACTAATTATTTTTCATTGAGGGTTCTCTGGAAATGACTGGCATATTTCTACTACATGAAAAAGGAATAATCAGAATGAAACACTTGAAAAACGACAATATCTTCCACATTTTTGATCAGATTATAAACTGGGCATTGCCGTCTTTGCATGAAGGGTCAGTTGAAATTACGCTTACAATCCCTTTATTAGACTAAATTAACTATTTATAACACTGTTATTTTGGTTCACGGAGTCATAACGTTTTTGGACAGAAATTTTCTCTTTATCGAGAAGGTTCAAGTCTTTTTAAATCTGAAAAGGTGAGAACCTTTGAGATACAGAGAAAATTTAATATTTTCATTTCAATGGAAAAAAATATTTTGGAAATATCCTAAATTTTTTTGAAAAAATCCGGAAACCAATTAAAACTTTATAGCACACGTGCTATAATGTACAGCTATTTTAACATTATAGCATCACGATGATTACTTTATAGCACGATAAAGTAAATAATAGTGATACACTTTACACTTTAGTTTCATATAAATATTTTTCCTAATTTTTTCATATTATTAATACAATGATGATTTCAGATATTGACTAATATTGTTGGAGCAATTGCTGAGAGTGCGAAAACTCCTCAGAACCGTGAAAATATCCGAGAGAGGGGTGGACTTAAACCTGTCATCAAACTCATAGCTTCCACTTCTCCAGGTATACTAGGAGTATACAGGAGCTAGCTAGACTTAAACCTGTCATCAAACTCATAGCTTCAACTTCTCCAGGTATACTAGGAGTATACTGGAGCTAGCTAGACTTAAACCTGTCATCAAACTCATAGCTTCAACTTTTCCAGGTATATTAGGAGTACACAGGAGCTAGATAGTCTCAAACCTGTTATTGAACTCATAACTTCCACTTCTCCAGGTATACTAGGAGAACACTGGAGCTAGATGGATTCAAAACTGTTATTAAACTCATAGCCTCCACTATGCTATAGGAGTATACAGGCGCTAGCTAGACTTAACGCTGCTATTAAACTAGACTCAACCCTTTTATTAAACTCATAGTTTCCACTTCTCCAGGTATATTAGGAGTATACTAGAGCTAGCTAGACTTAACACTGTTATTAAACTCATAGCTTCCACTGGAGCTAGCTAGACTTAACACTGTTATTAAACTCATAGCTTCCACTTCTCCAGGTATATTAGGAGTATACAGGAGCTAGCTAAACTTAACCCTATATATTAAACTCATAGCTTCCACTTCTCGAGGTATACTAGGAGTACGCAGGAGCTAGCTGGTCTCAAAACTCCCATTAAAGCATAGCATAAGTTCTTCAAGTATACCAGAAGTACACAGGGGCGAGGTAGTCTGAAACAGAAATGTTTTTGATTATTTTTGCTCCCAGTAGACGAAGCCTGAAACCTGTCATTTAACCTCTAGTCTCCAGGTATACCGGGAACCATTAAATAGTATTGGTGCAAGGATTGATATATTTCTCCAGGGAACTCGGGATTATTTCAGAAATAAAAAATCCAGTAAAATAACAAAATACATCCAATATATGTTTTCATCCAATATCCAATATTAATTTTAAAGAGAATTTGACAAACAGAAGGATAAAAGAACATTTTTAGATAACTTTAAAAGTTGTCAAAGCTTCAACGGACGATACTAATATTTTCACTTTGAGGAATTGAGATTTCGCCACAAATTCTGGATTTTCTAATCCCTATATCTAAATTCCTTTATATTTAATTTAAAATATTTTAGGTACATTTAATTGTCACATGCTAATGTTGAATAAAATGGGACGATGATGAGACCTTTACTCCATTATTATTACAGTTTTCATGTTATACCCAAGAATCCCCGAATCAGAAAACAAAAGCAAAAATGTGTTTTTTTTTTGTCAGGGTTACTGGTGAATGTAGCATCTGCTATAGGAAGGATGGCTGAGGACGTGGAAACTATTGAACAGGTCAATTAAAATTTATTTTTTGAAAAACTAGCAATTTTTATAGAATAGTGTTGTAATATTAATTTTGATTAATTTGGAGCTAAATAAAATCCCACTGTTGTCAAGGTCAGTCGTACATTTTTTTAAGTTTAAATGAAAGCTAGCAACGTTTTTTCCCAACCTGCCATTATTCTACTATTCTGAATTTAAATTTTTATGGATTTTTATGGAACCCGTTATTTTTAACGGAATATTAGTGATTACTCACCATTTGTGTGCGATATTACATACCATTTATTGGAAATATTTCCTTTATTTTTATTCAATATTGCTTACCATTTTTCTTAAATAATGCTGACCATTTTTGTGCAATATTTCTGATTAATTTTGTGGAAAATGGTTGTTCATTTTTGTGTAACATTAATGAAGGTTTTTGTGCAATATTGCTAACCATTTTTGATAATAACTTCTTGTTTTTGTGCAATATTTTTAACTATTTTTGCTCAATATTTTTAACTATTTTTGTGCAATATTTTCAACTATTTTTGTGCAATATTTTCAACTATTTTTGTGCAATATTGCTTACAATTTTTCTAAAACATTTGTGTTTAATATTTCTCACCATTTATGAGTAATTTTACTACCATTTTTACGAGTATATTTTTTACAAAATTGTTAAATATTTACTCACTAGTTTCACGCTCATGATAATTTTGTTTCCAAGATTTTTTTTACAAAACAGACATATTACACTTGTAGAATTTAAAAAATTATAAATGTTAATAATTTAGGTTTGAAAAATAGTTTTTAGGAAAGTCTCACCCTATCAGAGCCAGACAAAATAATACGATTAGAGAGGTCAAACCTTTTGACTGCAATAGCGCTAATCTTTGCCGCTGGATCTCAATATCTACTGTGCCAACTTTTAATTTGATGGATATGTTCTTAATCCTAGCCGACAAAAGATGTGGATATATGCTTGATCCGAGCTAAAAACTTTAGAATGGGATATCCTTAATCCCGATATGTAAATTAATCTGGAGATTAATAACAAGAGGAGAACAAGCATTATTTAATCTGGAGATTAAGAAAAAGAGGAGATCAAGCATTAATCTCGATATCCACCATTCTAAAGTTTTCAGCTCCGGCCATAAAATAAGAAAACAAAGTTTTGAACTCTTTAGAATTCATATTTAAATTTAGAAGTTAAATTTTTTGAATGAACGGCTATCAAAAATATTTTAGTTCTGGCTCCGATAAGGTTGAGATTTCCACAATTAAATATTTTTGATTAATTGATTTTAAAGTTATTAAACCCTTAGACGATACAATATCCTAACCCCCAACCTAGTGGGTTGGACCAGGTGAGAGGCTTGAATGCTACTGCTTGTAAATTCTGCTTTCTGCTTCATTTCAGAATTATGATATAAGGATCGTATAATCAGAGGATAGAACATTTGAATGGTGGATTTTTTTCGTGAAAATTATCCCCCCCCCTCAAAAAAATTATTGAAAATTATTTTTGGACAGGTTTGAAAAATGGGGTAATAGTTATTCTTATTTTGTTTGTTTTTTCTAACTCTTCTAACACTTCTAAATTTAGGGGAGTTTGATAATTTTTCACCATTTTTAATCTCATAAATATCTCACTTGCATCCGATTCGGAATTTATCATTCCATACTTTCTTTAATTATGTATCTTTCGATTATAAGATCCTATGCTGCTTTTTCGCTTCTCAAATTTAAGTCAATAAAAATGCGTAAAAATAGCTGAAAAGGATGTACGCAGTTACAGGTAAAAATAAATATCTTATAGTCATGCATAACTGCATTGAAAACTGATTAATTGATATCAAATGTAATTTTCTTATTACTCAAAAACTCAAACTGTACTTTTTTCTTATCTTCTATTTTGTTCCTTTAATATTTTAAACATTGAATTATGATAATCCAGTAATCAAAGTTTAAGATATCAAAGGTTTACATTATCGGGTTGCAAAGATATAAAGGTTAAAAAAATATAGTTTGAGGCAAGTGCGACGGGTGTTTTTTAAAATATTTTTTTTTCACATTGCGTCATCCTTAAGAACTATTTTTAATCTAATCTATATTTTTAAATCATGGCGTTGCTTATCAGACTGAGCATGGCTCTGTTGCATGATGGATTGCAATGCATGTAATATTCATTATCAGTTCAAAAATGAATGTAAATTATGTAAAAGCTTCAAAGATCTATGATATTCCAATCCAAACGTATTCTGACAAATATTAAGTCTCATCTTTTATCTGTAACATTGTAACATGTCGAACACTTCTGTACATACTTAACTCGACACTGTACAGTGTACAATGGATATCCTATCAACCTATGTACATATTTAATTCCTTCCTTGATCTGCATGCGGCATCTTAAGAGGAAAAACTTTGTAGTCCATTGATTAAAAATAATACAGAAAGAACACTATATGTCGTCTTTTCAAGATTTAGGGGTTTTTTGTTCACAATAACCCTGAGACAGAGATCCAAAAGAGTTAAGCTTCGTTGAATTACAAGACAGATATAGAGAGCCTTTTCTACGCGGCATGCGGGGAATGCGGGTTCCTTCTTTGCGATTCTGCCTCAGGGTTATTGTGAACGAGAAGACCCTAAATCTTGGAAAGACGACATATAGTGTTCTATCTGTATTGCTATTAATCTAACGACGACTTTTAGACTAAAAGATATGATTTCAAATCGTTGATTTTAAAGTTACTGATAATAGTATTTGCTTTATAACAACATTAAGAATGGCGTCTTCCTATTCGAAAGTGTTTTGGGGAGCCCTGCATCAAAATAAGTTAATTCTACAATGAGGACAAAGGTTATCCTGTGTAGAACTATAAATCAATATACAGGGTGTCCAAATAAACATGGGAATTCAGATACGACTTCAATATCGTCTTTGATTTTCGATAATTGATAAATAACGTAATGTTCATCAAAAATAGCTTGCAAGTCTAAATACCTTTCCAAAATGTGGTCTATCTTTTTATCTTTAAAGTTAACGGAGATATTAGAAATATGAACAGCTTTGTTGATTTGAAATTGGAATCTGACAAATTTTTTAATATCACCGGCAATTTTGATGATTAAAAGAATGGAAATCCCGAAACTAGTACTTTTCGGTGTTAAATGTTTTAATTGCGATACTACAAAATTATGTTTTCGAAATAGTCCCGCATGGAACAAAGACGATATATTAATTCCCATGTTTATTGGAACACCCTGTATATATATATATATATATATATATATATATATACAATTACGACAATGGAGAAAGTATGTAAATCAAGTGAATGCATGTTTTCAAATGAGAATTCATAATTTGATTAAAATGAGCAAAATTTGATTTAAACTTTTAAATTTAACTTAATAATGGAGTGAAAAGAATAATGGTAAATTAATCTCTGAATGGATGTAAGGGTATAGATTAGAGGAATTAATCTCTTAATGGATGTAAGGGTATAGATTAGAGGAATTAATCTCTTAATGGATGTAAGGGTATAGGTTAAAGGAATTAATCTCTTAATGGATGTAAGGGTATAGATTAGAGGAATTAATCTCTTAATCGATGTAAGGGTATAGATTAAAGGAATTAATCTCTTAATCGATGTAAGGGTATAGGTTAAAGGAATTAATCTCTTAATAGATGTAAGGGTATAGGTTAAAGGAATTAATCTCTGATTGGATGTAAGGGCATAGGTTAAAGGAATTAATCTCTTAATCGATGTAAGGGTATAGGTTAAAGGAATTAATCTCTGAATGGATGTAATGGTATAGATTAAAGGAATTAATCTCCTAATGGATGTGAGGATATAGGTTACAGGAATTAATCTCTTAATGGATGTAAGGGTATAGATTACAGAAATTAATCTCTGAATGTATGTAAGGTTATAGATTAAAGGAATTAATCTCCTAATGGATGTAAGAGTATAGATTACAGAAATTAATCTCTTTATTGATGTAAGAGTATAGATTACAGAAATTAATCTCTTAATGGATGTAAGAGTATAGATTACAGAAATTAATCTCTTTATGGATGTAAGAGTATATATTACAGAAATTAATCTCTGAATGGATGTAAGAGTATAGATTAAAGGAATTAATCTCTGAATGGATGTAAGAGTATAGATTAAAGGAATTAATCTCTGAATGGATGTAAGAGTATAGATTAAAGGAATTAATCTCCTAATGGATGTAAGAGTATAGATTACAGAAATTAATCTCTTTATGGATGTAAGAGTATAGATTACAGAAATTAATCTCTTTATGGATGTAAGAGTATAGATTACAGAAATTAATCTCTGAATGGATGTAAGAGTATAGATTACAGAAATTAATCTCTGAATGGATGTAAGAGTATAGATTACAGAAATAATTTAAGAGTATAGATTAAAGGAATTAATCTCTGAATGGATGTAAGAGTATAGATTAAAGGAATTAATCTCTGAATGGATGTAAGAGTATAGATTACATGAACAAGATTTGAATTGCAAAAATATAAGAATCACACACTGTACTAATCTTAAGTAATAAGAAAATTATAGTTCTACAAAAAAGTGCTTAATCTTCTCTTTATTTGAAAAGAATAAAGAAGATGCAATAATAATCTTAAGGTTAAAGGGAGTTTTCGCGAAAAATGAAAAAGGGTATAGGCTGGGCTCAGTAACATAAGATATATTTACTAAAGAATTAATTACAAAATACATAATAACAAAACATATAGTTACATATGATATAATTATATATATGTATATGATATAATTACACAATCTAGAAAAGGGTAAATGTTAAAAAATATGTAAAATGTTCTAATTAGCTCATATTCCAGTGTGCTTAAACACAAGAATAGTTCAAATAGTCTAAATGAAATGTTCAAATGAACAAACTGTCTGTAATTTTCTCCTTTTATAGATTTTGTAATTATGTCTTTTGTAATTTGTATCTTTTGTAACTTATACATTTTGTAACTTATATATTTTGTAACTTATATGTTTTGTAACTTATATGTTTTGTAATTATATGTTTTGTTATTATTCTTATGAATCCGTAAACTTGAAAATTTAGATTAAAATAATTTTTTTATATTGTTGTTTTTAATTGGTTTCATTCAGTTAATTTGTAATTTCAATTTTGATTATCTTGTATAACATTATAAACAAGATTTGTATGTTATAAGGTTGTGGTTGGGTGTCATTTCAGGATGTTTTTCTCCAATGCACTTTTATCTATTCGAACTTAATCATAAATGCATTTTCTGACAGAAAGTGCAATCAATGGTAAAAATTTACTTGTGTTTGCATCAAATAATTCTGCAGACGCAGTAATATAATGCAGGACAGAATGTCAATTTTATAAAAAAAGAAATGTGACCTAAAATCCTAAATCTCAAATACTGTAACTTACATGAATGAACAAATGGACATATTTAATCCTTTACTTTATTTAATCATTTGCAACCCCTGACAGAACTAAGGAATTTGCAACCCCTGGCAGAACTATGGAATTTGCAACCCCTGACAGAACTAAGGAATTTGCAACCCCTGACCGAAATAAGAAATATGCAACCCCTGGCAGAACTAAGGAATTTGCAACCCCTGACAGAACTAAGGAATTTGCAACCCCTGACAGAACTAAGGAATTTCAACAAACTCTTACATTCATATGAAGAAGATTATTCTGTCAAAGGTTCTTTAATAAGGTTGGTTACTCTGGATGCGCTCCAATGTCGTCTCCTTAGATAGATAGAATCCGCATATGACGTCATACTCGCCTCTATATTCAGAGACGTCATATGCGGATTCTATCTATGCTAAGGAGACGCCATCTAGAGTAACCAACATTATTAAAGAACCTTGATCCTTTCCCAGAAATCTATGCTCTTGTAATTGAATTGAATTATGAATTAATTGCAATGAGATCCAAGGAGTACTAATTGCAATGAGATCCAAGAAGGATTGATTGCAATGAGATCCAAGAAGGATTAATTGCAATGAGATCCATGGAGGACTAATTGCAATGAGATCCAAGGAGGACCATAAGATCCATGGAGAACTAACTGCAATGAGATCCAAGAAGGATTATTTGCAATGAATCCAAGAAGGATTAATTGCACTGAATCCAAGAAGGATTAATTGCAATGAGATCCAAGGGGGATTAATTGCAGTGAGATCCATGGAGGACTAGTTGCAATGAGATCCATGGAGGACCAAATGCAATGAGATCCATGGAGGACTAACTGCAATGAGATCCTGGAAGGATTATTTGCAATGAGTTCCAAGGAGGATTAATTGTAATGAGATCCATGGAGGACTAATTGCATTGAGATCCAAGGAAATTTAATTGCAATGAGGTCCAAGGAGGACTAATTACAATGATATCCAAGGAGGATTAATTACAATGAGAGCCAAGGAGGACCAATTGCAATGAGATCAAAGGAGGATTTATTGCAATGAGATCCAAGGAGGATTTATTGCAATGAGATCCAAGGAGGATTAATTGCAATGAGATCCAAGGAGGATTAATTGCAATGAGATCCAAGGAGGATTAATTGCAATGAGATCCAAGGAGGACTAATTGCAATGAGATCCAAGGAGGATTAATTGCAATGATTTCCATGGAGGACTAATTGCAATGAGATCAAATGAGAATTATCTGCAATGAGATCCAAGGAGGATGAATTGCAATGAGATCCAAGGAAGATTAATTGCAATGTGATCCAAGGAGGACTAATTGCAATGAGATCCAATGAGAATTTTGTATTTTAGATCCGGAATTTGGATGGTGTTCGACTACTCTGGTCTTTACTCAAGAACCCCAATGAATCTGTTCAGGTATCTCGCTAACTTCTGGTTTTCAGGTTTTCTTCAAAGGAACTTAGTTTTTGCTACAAACTCAAATTTTTTAATCCCTATATCTCTGCAGCCTGATGGTGTAAACCTTAAATTTTCAAACTTACCCTATTTGATCTAACAGAAGTTTGAAATATCACAGGTCTACGACTTGAGTTTAAAATGAATAGGTATTATTTCCTTAAGGACTATTTTGTACATCATCGACTAAAGCAATATTGATAGTTAGGAACTAATGAGACCGGACTGACTTTGAAGCTGATTCTAGTAGGGATGGGCAATTGCTAGATTCGTTTTACAGAAACTCTTAATATTTTTAGACTTTTAAAATCTGAGAAGAGTGCAACAATATAAAATTGTATTCTATAGAAGTTTGCTTTTATCAAACATGCAAGTTTGTTATCCTAGGTGAAAATATAAGTCAAAAACGAACCAAAAGCTATCATTTAAAAAAAAAACTTAGAAATATCGATTTAAAACGATCGTTTTTGCCTTATATTTTCTTCTAGGGTAAAAAATTTGTAGATTTGATAAAGGCAAACTTCTACAGAATAGTTTAAAATGTTGTTATATTGTCGTAAAACATTTTAAAAGTCTAAAAACATTAAAAGTTTCTGTAAAACTGGTCTGGCTATTGCCCATCCCTTGCTTTTAGACCTCGATAATTGCTAGGACCATTTGAACCTTGTCTGCATTTAGGCTCCCGATATTTAGATTTTAAAGCTCCGACTTGCCTTTATCTAGCTTAATATTTTGATGGAGTAGTTAATAAAACCTTCGATTAACCTGGGATCAAGCTGTCCTGGGATCTAAATTAAACCTTTTTGTGAAATGTTCTGGATCTAGATTAAAATGGGATTAAACTGCCCTGGCCGGTTCCAGATTGGACTGGTTTTAAACTGTCCTGGATCTAGATTAAACTGTCCTGGATCTAGATTAAACTGGTTAAAACTATCCTGGATCTGGATTAAAATGGTTTAAACTATCCCGGTTTTAGATCAAACTGGTTTTAAACTGTCCTGGATCTAGATTAAACTGTTTAAAACTGTCCTTGATCTAAATTAAGCTGTTTAAAACTGTCCTGGATCTAAATTAAACTGTTTAAAACTGTCCTGGATCTAAATTAAACTGTTTAAAACTGTCCTGGATCTAGATTAAACTGGCTCAAACTGTCCTGGATCTAGATTAAACTGGTTTAAATTGTCCTGTATCTAGATTAAGCTGGTTTAAACTGTCCTGGATCTAGATTAATCAGTTTTAAACTGTCCTGGATCTAAATTAAACTGGTTTAAACTGTCCTGGATCTAGATTGAACTGGTTTTAACTGTCTTGGATCTAGATTAAACTGGTTTAAACAGCCCTGGATCTAAATATTACTCTAGTTGAATTCTTGATATTTTCAAGCCCAGACGTAAACAAAGAAGAAGGAGAAGAGAAAAACAAGATCAAAGGATTTCCTTTATATCCTGGCCAGGATTTATATATGTTGGAGAGAATATTGTAAAATTCACTGTTTTACTTCAATTTATTTTACAGATAATGTACTTTCCTCAGAGGAGATAATAAAATTTAAATTTTAAAAACTGGGTCGTAGTTTTTCATTTCGGGATAAACTTTTAATGTTTAACATAGAATTATTTTTTAAAAAGTTTGAAACTGAGAATTGTTGTCCTCGTCATGTTTAATAAACTGTTAGTTATAGTTTTTATAATCTACTTTTACTCTGGATCTGGGCCGGGATCCAAAAAAAACCCAGTCTTTCAATTTGTGCCCATGTTCTAACACTCAGTGTTAGAAATGGGCCAAGTGTTAGTTTTGGAACTAATGTCCCCTGGATAAAACAGTGTATCTTTAAGACGAGACCTCAAGTAATGCGTCTTCATTTGCGGAATCTGTAAAATGTGCAAAAGTTCGTTAACTTTTGCATTAGAGAATATTAATAAATGTTGCGAGTTATATGAAAACATGTAGATTACTCTATTTCTAGTATTCTATTATTTAGAGCTGCGATTTGCGTAAGTCAACACACCTTTTTTCAATTGCCTTCGTGATGTGCGTCTTCAAAAGTCACTCATCAATTGTGCGTCCTATATTTTTGTGTTCTCTTTGTGCGTCCTAATTGTTCGCTTAAATTCAATATTATTTCCTCATAGGTGCGTCTAGGGTTGAGAATAATCTTTTAACAATTAAAATAATATTTTAAATAAAAGGAACTAAATTTATTTGTACCCTAAACTTTTCCTAGGATGGGACGTTCCCCCATTTCCCATAGGGGAGCCCCCCCCCCATAAAGCCCTGCTTCTAATTGCGTCCCAAAAAGTATAGTGTCTCCACAATGTGCGTCCTCATTTTAAGTTTAAACCATTTAGGCCGCTGCAGCCTGGGCTCTGTCTCCTTGTATTAGGAATGCAGAGAACTCCGGAGATATGGTTCGGAGTTTCGTCGGAGGATTGGAGTTGGTCTGTGGGCTTCTGGAATCCAAGGATCAAGAGGTAGGGATTCTTTTTTAATATAAATTCCAAGGATCAATGGGTAGGGATCATTTGTTGACCTAGAATCCAAGGATAAACACTATTTATTTTTTAAATCTGGAATACAAGGATCAATAGGTTTATTTGTTTATCTAAAATCTAAGGATCAAGAGGTAGAAATAGGGATTTTTTGTTTAACTAAAATCCAAGGATCTAAAGGTAGGAATATGGTTCATTTGTTTCTCTAGAATCCATGGATCGCGGAGGTAGAAAACATTTATGATGGGCGGATTTTTGGTAATGACAATTTGGTAATGACAATTTGGTAAGCTCATTTGGTAAACGAAATAAAAGTGACAATTTGGTAATGACAAATTGTTAACAACAAAAAAGTGACAATTTGGTAATGACAATTTGGTAACGTCATAAAAGTGACAATTTGGTAAACGAAATAAAAGTGACATTATGTAAAATTGTTTAATTTTTAGTTTTATATTCAATTGAAGATAATTGATTTTAGGAATCATTTATTTCTGCACAAAAGAAATGCGCCAAAAATAATTGTAAAATTCGCAATATTTTCTAAAAACCACGTTTTAACCTGCACTTGTGTCATATACTGCAAGAAGAGGTTACTTGGATCATGAATTACTTATTCATCACCCCTTCTAGGGGTGGCAAAATGTTACAAGATTCAGAAGGATTTAAATTCTATAACAATAACGGACTTTATGTATGGCAATGTTAGGAAGTTATTAATGTTACTTTTTATGTAGTGCTTGGCCCCTAGCCCATCCTAGCCGCAGCGCTCGGCCCAGATATTGTCTTAACCTAACCTAACCTAACCCAAAATAATGTAAGAAACAGCACATTATTTAACATTTAATAGCCTGCAGCGCTGGGAACCCAAGCCCACCCTAGCCGCAGCTCTCGCCCCATAAATTGTCTTAACCTAACCTAACCTAACCCAAAATATTGAGAGAGACAGCACATTATTTACCATTAAATAGGCCGCAGCACTCGGCCCCCTAGCCCATCCTAGCCGCAGCGCTCGGCCCAGAAATTGTCTTAACCTAACCTACCCCTAAATAATGAGAGAAATAGCACATTATTAAACTTTTAATAGGCCGCAGTGCTCGGCCCCTAGCCCATCCTAGCCGCAGAGCTCGGCCCAGAAATTGTCTTAACCTAACCTAACCCAAAATAATGAGAGAAACAGCACATTATTAAACTTTTAATAGGCCGCAGCGCTCGGCCCCCTAGCCCATCCTAGCCGCAGCGCTCGGCCCAGAAATTGTCTTAACCTTACCTAACACAAAATAATGAGAGAAACATCACATTATTAAACTTTTAATAGGCCGCAGCGCTCGGCCCCCTAGCCCATCTTAGCCGCAGCGCTCGGCCCAGAAATTGTCTTAACCTAACCTAACCCAAAATAATGAGAGTAACAGCACAGTATTAAACTTCTAATAGGCCGCAGCGCTCGGCCCCCGAGCCCATCCTATCCGCAGCGCTCGGCCCAGAAATTGTCTTAACCTAACCTAACCCTAAATAATGTGATAAACAGCAAATTATTCAACATTAAATTGAATTAAATTTAACTTTTATCAACAAATTGTCACTTTTTTGTTGTTGCCAATTTGTCATTACCAAATTGTCACTTTTATGATGTTACCAAATTGTCATTACCAAATTGTCTCTTTTGTCAGCTTACCAAATTGTCATTACCAAATTGTCGTTACCAAATTGTCACCTTACCAAATTGTCATTACCAAATTGTCATTACCAAATTGACATTACCAAAAATCCGCCCGTCAACATTTATATATATCCAGAATCCAAGGATCACGGGATAGAAATCTTTAATACATACAGAATCCATGGATCAAAACAAGAGGTCATTTACATAATTATAATCTATGAGTTAAGAAGTAGGGATAATTTGTATATTTAAAATCTATGGTGTGTTAGGTATTTTCCCAAGCGGCAATTTTCTAAGGGTATTTTCCCAAGTAGAAACTTCCCAAATGTAAAATTTCCCAGGCGGCAACTTCCCCAGTCTGTCCTAGACGCAGCGTTCGGCACACAGCGTGTTCTAGCAGCAGCACTCGGCCTCCCTAACCCATAATAGTCGCAGTGCTCGGCCCCCTGCGGCGCCTCAGAAGGCATATCCTAACCTTTGGGAAGTTTCTGTTTGGGAAATTGCACATTTGGGAAGTAGCCACTTGGGAAATTATCACTTGGCAAGTCACCCTTGGGGAAATGCCTTTGGGAAAATACCTAACACCTATGGATCAAAAATCATTAATTGTATTTTAGTAAAGAACATTTTGAATTGTTTTGTTATGGTGTTTGAGAAGACTGACAGTTGTTAAATATATTTCGATAATTGTAGATACCATGAACAGTGTACAGTCAACAGTAGTTCTGTAGAAGACTGTAGAGCATAATTTTTTTTTTTAGTATTCAACATAAACATTAAACATAGTCTATTTTATTGAATTTTGTGAGAAATGAACAAAGATATATGAATCAACATTCTTTAGTAATCATATCTCGGATCCAAACTCTTCAAGTTCATTCTTAACAGAGTGCACAGTTCCGGCTTGTTTTCAACACATTAGCTAAATGGTTATATCTCTATATCTCCATAAGTATATTATAATTTTAATCTGTGCATAGACTTTATTTGAACAAACTGTACCACAAACAAATGTTCAGGTGTTAGCGGCGGTAAGCTTCGCGATTGCTAATATTGGGAAGGATAAAGAAAATCTTGCTGTTATAACAGACCACGGAGTTATTCATAAGTAAGTTTATAAACTTGTACTCCGTGCATATTTTTAGTTTTACTTCATTATCTCCTAGCCTTCACTTGGGAGCCAAATTTCCGACAACAAATGTAGAATATTTGTATTTTCTATAAGATGAGACTGTAAAGACGACCTATCGTATTTTCTATAAGATGAGACTGTAAAGACGACCTATCGACAACAAATGTAGATTATTTGTATTTTCTACAGGATGAGACTGTAAAGACGACCTAAAACTCTTAAAATATCACGATCCCAAGGTTAAATTAAGGTTTAGGAAAATGATACATCGGCACACTTGGACACCGGGGCGAAATTCCATAATCGTTTTATATTGTAGAATAAATTAAGAAGTATTTTTTGAATAGAAGCCTTGAATTCAGGCCATAATTTACAACTTTAATTCTGGAGGGAGGGGATCTTCAGATAAAAAATTATAAAAAAAATTGAAAATTGAAAGATATTTACTGGGACCCAAATTTGAAGCTTTCAAATTCATAAAATAGGCTCCAAAAAACATAAGCTCCATTTTTTGGAAACCCTGTATATAAAAATACAAAATTATATAATTGGATTCTTTATAATTTTCTTTGTTTAGGTTGGCAAGGTTAGCTGTGACACAAGATGACCGTCTGCGAGCTAAACTGGCAGAGGTATAAACACAGTTGGAAGACGACTTAAAGGGACTGATACGTAAATTCAAGGGACCCCCCCCCCCATTTCTAGAGTTGCAGGCCGATTTACAAAGCTACCCTCATTTGGACCGGATAAGGAAGACATCTTTTTTTATATCTGGAAAAATTGTTAAATTCTGACCATTTCTCACAAACCCACTGTGAACCAAAGTATATATGGGCCTGGTCACGTCAAATTCAATCAAGGATTTGTATATCACTTCTTTCATCTAAAAATAGAAACGATTATGAAATGTACATTCCCAGGGCTACAAAAAGAATAGTTTTACACTTTCTAATTTGATGCACACTTTTCCTCAGCGAACCACAATTGAAAGCCGTCAATCTTTAGATAGAAAAAATTTGTTCTCAACATTTTTGATCAGACGGAGGTTTAAAGGGTGTAATTTGAAATAGGACACTCCTCTTTTTAAATCTCACAGACAGTCCCTTTAAATATCAACTTTTATCTTAGATAGCTATCTTATGAGAAAATGTTTATTAATAAACTTGCTGAAATGACTTTTCAGCCTTTCATGACGTGACCTGGTGCATAATGCACTACGAATGCTTTGTATCTTATTTTTCGACTTTTAGCATGAATCTGTGGGAAAGGAATTAAGTCTTTGCCACAACCTCTGCTTTTCTAAACCCTATATCTTTAGATTCCAATGTCGTATACCTTAGATATTTCAAGATATGAATTCTGTTAGATCAAATAATATAAGTTTGAAATATCAAAGATGTACATTGGGTTCCACAGATATCGGGATTATAATTCAGAGTTTGGGGCAAAGACTCGATTCCTTTTGAGAACTCCGGTAGTTTTGAAAGGATAAAGCTAGAACACATTTTCAAAATCCCAGAAATATTTAATTTATAATTTACAGTGATTGTTTTCAGAATCATACTGAGCCCGCGATTTAAAAACTTCGACTCGAGTCTTAATTCCTTAAACCGGACTTTAAGACCCAATCTTCGTCCCAACTCTAACGACAGCTTGTGTCACATGATTGACAGTTGCAAGATCTTCGGTTCGACTTAATAAGTTAGGCCCAATGAAAATAAAACCGGCCTTGGTTGGTTTTAGTGGAGAATAAGACTCAATGATGTTCTCATAAAAACCCGGAATGCGCCAATTCCTGCCATGAAAATCCGCAAAATATTAAACCAGTTTTTTGAACTCAACTCTGTGGAAAATAAGATGCAGCCTGTATCCGAAAGCTCAAGCCGTAAATAAAGACAGCTTTGTCCCGAGCCGTATTTTCCCGAATTTTTTAAATCTCAGGCTCTGATAAAATAAGGTTCATAAATAAAATATATTTTTTAAAAAACGACATTTTAGTCTCAACTTATCTAGAAATGGTTATTTAACGAGAAAAGGAATTGAGTTTTTGTCACAAACTCTGATTTTCTTATCTCTATATCTTTGCATTGTATTGTCAGAGACCTTAGATATTTCAAATTATGAATCATTTAAGATCAAATAATGATAGTTTGAAATATCAAAGGTTTACACCATCAGGCTAAAAAGATATGGCGATTGTAAAATCATAATTTGTGGCAAAAACTCAGTTCCTTTACCTACATTCAGGCCCGTAGCAAGCAAGGAATTTCCAGGGGGTGCAAGTCAATTATAAAATACAATTCAAATTTTCAATTGGACCATGGATCACCGAGTACCTCACTTTTTGGTGAAAGGGGTGTATGTACGACATGCCCCCCCCCCTCCACCCCCTCTCCCTGGGGTTACTGGACTGAGGCAGTATTATATATAAATGTCTTTTAACACCGAGAGTGTTAGCTTTAAAAGAAATCTATTTATATTTTGGCATTTAAATCTAGAAATAGCTCTAAATATAAAAAGTATTAAATCTGTTAAAAGGTTTCAGTGTTAGTGGTCGGTGAGATTTCACAATAAATATATTTAAACTTGATATAACACTATATGTATATGAATAAATAAAAAGATATTATATAAGAATAAAACCTACATATCTAACCTCAGTATCAAGACTCCCACAAACTCTAATATAATTCTTAGTTTTCAATATTAAATCATAAATTAGAACTTCCGTCATATTTTATGTTTTTAAAAGAAAAGCAGGGGAAAGGGCCTGCGGAAGTTAATATTGTCCTAATAAAGTATCATACCATTAACACGAATATAGAGCTCTGAGTTTTACTACGGTGATTAAATCACTACAATGAAGACGACTTTTTTATTTAATTTTTGATTGTTAATAAGCTTTTTTATAGTTACAAGTTTACAACTAATCAAAGAGAAGATTTTTTAATTGATAAATTCTCTTGACTTCCATGTTTTAGTATATCGATGCTGTTTAACAGCTTAATTTAAATCAAAATTGTATTCGAAAGTCGTTGTCCTTGTATTGATATAATCGCCTACCACTGTCCTTCTTAAAGCAAAATTGGGTACTTTTTGTAAAGGAGGAAGGCAAAAGAAATCAAGTGTATAATTACCAAAACATATGGTTTTTATGAGATTTAAGAAAGTGCTTTCACCAAAACCTTCGGAACCAAAACCACTCAGCTGTAAAGTTGTATCAGAGCCACTGTTAAATAAAGACTGATTTTTCCACATATACTTTCTACATAATACTTAAATTTTGTATTTTTTAAGGCCATCAGTCATTGTTGTGAGCTGGAGTCAAACCGAGCTCTATTTGGTAAAGCAGGAGCAGTAGCTCCGCTGGTCAACTATCTTACCTCATCTGACCTAGAGGTTCATAGAACTACAGCAGCTGCTCTACATCAACTATCCAAGGTAGGTCCAATACTTGACCTCATAAGACCTCATCTGACCTCGAGGTTCATAGAACTACAGCAGCTGCTCTACATCAACTATCCAAGGTAGGTCCAATACTTGACCTCATAAGACCTCATCTGACCTCGAGGTTCATAGAACTACAGCCGCTGCTCTACATCAACTATCCAAGGTAGGTCCAATACTTGACCTCATAAGACCTCATCTGACCTCATGCAGTTCAGAGAACTACAGCGCCGCTGCTCTACATCAACTATCAAAGGTAGGTCCAATATTTGACCTCATAAGTGTTACGAAACAAATAGACTAAAATAAAATCTAAATAAAGATTGCTGCGTAGTGATAAACGAGGATTCAACCAGTGCAGTGCATGGAAATGTGTAAATATATTGTTTAGGATCCCTGGAACTGTGTTACCATGCATCAGTCTGGAGTTGTTCCTCATCTTCTCCGTCTTATTGGTTCAGAGGATGAAGCAGTTCAGGTAGGTGCCAAACCAAACCAAGGTAGGAACCAAATCAAATCAATGTATAGGGAACAAAACAAAACTAGGTAGGAACCATGCAAAACTTATTAAGAAACCATTACAAACCCAGGTAGAAACCATACAAAACCCAGGTAGGAACCAAACCAAACCTCTGTAGGAACCATACAAAACCCAAGTATAAACTAAATCAAACCCAGGTAGGATCAAACCAAACCCATGTTGAAACCATGTAAAGCCCAGGTAGAAACAATACAAAATCCAGGTAGGATCAAACCAAAACCAGAAGGTTCCAAACCAGAACAAGACAGGAACCAAACAAAACCCACGAAGGAACCCAAGTAACCCATGTATGAACCAAACAAAACCCAGGTAGGTACCAAAGGAAACCCAGTTAGGTGCCAAACTAAGATATCGATCAGAGAAGGTTGAGCTTATCAATGACTTATTGTAACCTATAGCTTCTCATGCAATGAGTGAAAGGTAGAATATTTTTACTTTTTGTCATTTTACCAGATAATATTTGCTAGGCAGAGGTTGCCTAGCGAAACAAAGGATAATTAGGAACCAGCCAGCTAGATCTCACATTAGGTTTAACAAAATATTAATGTTAATGTTTTTTTAAAGGGAGGTGTAACAATTTTTTAAAAGAATCAAGAAAGAACTGTTGTACTCATTTTTGTAACTTATCTTCAATCTCACTTCTCACAGTACAGATTTGTGAATGATATGGAGCCTCGCATAGATTAATTAAAATGACAGATAGGACACTAATGTCATCTTTTAAAGATTTATGTGTGTTTCGTTCACAATAACCCTGATGCAGAAGCTCGAAGGAGTTACGCGTAGTTGGCGTAGAACAAGCTCTCTCTCTCTCTGTAGAATTACAAGACAGTTTACAGTTTTTCCGGTTTACATTATGAAAAACTAAAACAAAAATTGTTCACTTTCAAAATGTTAACTATGGTAGAAAAAATGAAGCAAAAAAACCCATAGAATTATTGAAATACTGAGCTTTTTTAAAGCAAAAAGAAAGGTGTAAAAATAGCTACACAGGACTCGGTTCTAGAACGGTGAACCCTCTCTTAGAAGGTGGAAATATATTTTAATGTACTCACTTTACACTCTATACGGTATAGAGTATACTAGAAGTAGAAGTAAGATGAATGGAGAATGATTTAATGCCTTTAAGATGGATTTGTTTTTCAAACTTAAGCAAACCTTGAATTAAGGATAGAATTTTTATATATTTTCCAGGGTAAAATTAAAAATAACTACCAAACAACAACAAAAAATTAAAGAAAAAATTGAGGGAATTTAAGAAATATTAACTTTTAATTGTCTTAAAATTGCAAAAAATAATGATTTACTAAGAGAGTATCAAGAAAAAACATTCAAGATTTCCAAACCATTACAATTTTTGTTTTTGAAAAATTTTATTCTCAGCTAAATTTATCAGTTTTAAAGCTACAAAAATGGCAAACCCTAATTTCTAAGCTTCTTTGTTAGTTGTTTACACTTTTTCGAATCATATGTGTACATATTTAAAAGACAATTTCAAAGTTTTATTGGGACACCCTGTAAAGTAGAAAATGCGCAAGTGAAATTCTCTATTGCATTTCAGCAAAGAACTTCAGAGTCATACATTTTAATAAATACATTATATATATATGTACAAGCTTGGAAACCCAGCACTGACTGGGAACTAAGTTTTCCATGAAAAAGTCAAACAAATCAACTTGAAATTTATATTTATAAACCAAATTAGAAACATTCTTGTGGTTATACCGACTTCCCCAATGAACATTTGAGGCAAATAGGTCAAAGGGGTTTCAGATTTATGATCGGACTTTCAAAGAAACAAGCAAACAGAGATTACTACTTTATATGTGATGTATATATATATATATATTTCATATTTCAGGAGGCAGCAGCTGATTGTCTACAGAATATCAGAAAGCTAGCTCTAGCTTGTGAAAAGTTTAGATATCAACATCTTAAAACTTAAACTTTTTTCTAAGTTAAAGGGACTGTAAAGGAAAAATTAAAGGGGTATAGGCTGAAAGCTAATCACTTTAGCTTTTGATCGCGACCCATGAAAGTTTTATCTGATGTTCCTGTCTCGAGAAATTGATATAAAACTGTGTTAAAATTATACGAAAGTTCATATATGTAAAATTTAGAAAATCTTAAACTTAAATCACGTGACCAGAACTATGAACGATGAAGATGACACGTTTAATAATGCTTTGATCCCTAACAAGCATTTTTCCATTTACAGGTTTACAAGTTAGCAAAGAGAAGCTGTTAATTGACAACTTCTCTATGTTTACATGTTTATGTGTCTTTGCTATATTGGGAGAAATTCATTTTATTGATATATGCGACGACAACTGTGGTTTGAAATGTAAATACCCACACATCATATGCTCATTTTAGAAATTGAGGAATTAAATTTTTGCCACAAATTCAACTTTGTTAATCCCCGTAACTTTGCATCCTGATAGAAGAACCCTTGATATTTCAAATGAAGACTATTTGATCTAACAGAATTAAAAGTTTGAAATATTAAAAGGTCTCTGACATTGGATTGAAAAGCTATAGTGATTAGAAAATCAGAGATTATGACATAAACTCCTTTCTTTTGTAAACAATAATATATGGGGAAAGCTTTGTTATTTGTGTGTTTATTTTGTTTGTAAGAAACATACATTGAAAGATAAGAAAATCCTCGAAAATATTTTTTCATAAACTCAAATTAAAAACAAGGTATCTTCATTAGCATGGATAGAGACTATGAGAGGTGGATTAATTCTTGAGAAAAAGAAAATCCGTCAAGATGAAATTGTCCTGTGCTGAGATTTTTAAAGCTCAAACCGGAGCAACACCCAGCTCTTTAAGACGCCCAAGTGAAGTCTTAAGTTTTTGCTAGACTTGGTTTTAAGTATAACCGACTTTGACACAACCTTGAAAGCATCTCTCATTGGTCGAATCTATACTAATCAGAATCTAGTCTCCGCAAACGCTTGAGCTTACAAAGGTCAGGTTTGACTTTTAAAATCTCATTCGTTTAGTCCCAGTAACTCTGGAAACTCAAATAAAATAACTTTAAAAATCCTGGGTCCGAATTTGAGCCGCGGCTTAAATATGGTTGGTTCCCTTTAAATTGTATTTAAATTTTTGAAGATTTAAGCCGGCTCTCAATTGAAACTGGTTTTTGGGGGATTTGAGACTCGGCTTACATTCATTAAATTCGGACACTGTTTGCAGCGAAATTTTCTCTTCTGTTTTTTATGAGAGTTTTTTTTGGAGAAATACACAAAATTGAGATTGAAATCGTTTTTTTTCATTTTCAATTTCAAAATTTTAAATAATTAGGAACGATTGATTTGTTTGATGAAATTATTCGAGAAAAATTTTTCTTTTTTTATAAACTGTTCTAATGTGTAAATGAAAAAATAAAGAATTTAAGCCGCGGCTTAAATATAAGCGGCGGCTCAAATACGGTTGGTTTCACTTTAAATTGTAATCCATTTTTCATGTTTTAAGCAGGCGCTCAATCAAAACCAGTTTTTGGGGGGATTTAAGACGCGGCTTAAATACATTAAATTCGGAAACAGGGATTTTTTTATCTTCGATATCCAAAAGTGCATCAAATGTTATAGATTTGTATCACAATAAGGAAATATAGGAGGGAGGGGGTACCCGGGACCCCCCCCCCCTCCTATATTTGCATTAATAAAAACACGATTGTTTACAATTTTAATTATTAACTTTATATTTATGTACAGTTGAAATTTAAATATTATTTACCAAGTAAAACTTGCTTAAATATAAAAATTTAAATTCAATGTTAGTTTTTAAATTTAATATACTCCAATTCTCCTCAGCAATTTAATTTTCCACTGGAATAAACTACATTTACAATATTCTTAAATCCACAATTTTCTTTTCTGTTCCTTTTTAAATTCTACCATTGAATTTATAAGCTTCTCAAGTTTTATAAACATAAATACTTTTAAATTTCAATTTGTTTACATTTAATCAAATTACAAACTGAAATAAAATGCTACAGGGTGTCCCATGAAATATGACAGTTGGTGAATAGGTTTGAATGTCTTCTTCCATATTCTGTATTAGATATTTCAGTTTATTTCCTCAAATATATTTTACATGGAAATCAATTTACTATAATATGGATGCCATAAAATATTTATTATTATTCTCTTTGGCAACAAACAACTTGACAAATAATGGAAGAAGACATTTTAAAATATTCATCAACTGTCATGTTTCGTGGGACACCCTGTACATAAAGTAACTGTAGACATAATTTCAAGCAACTTCTGATTAATAAAGGTTCCCTTCCTACAGATTGATTAATTCTAATTCTAGTTTAAAAACGTGATTTGCAGACTTCTTCTTGCAGAAACAATGAAGGAAACGATGTTTAGGCTAGAAAACTGCCTGTCTTTAACAAGCCGGTCATTTAAATCTTTAACGACACACTTCTGTATGCTGAGTCCATTAGCGCCTGTTCTAATCAAGTGTTTGTTGTCTATTTTGAACCAATAGAAATAGTATGGCAGTAGCATTTATCTTTCTATCTATCTCATTATCCAATTAGAGATGAATCCTTAAATCGGCGCTATCAGTAAATGGAAATATTTACTTCTACTGAACTATAGTGGACAGCCGCCCTTAATACCAAACTTTAAATGTGCAGGGTTACCCATAAAGGATGAGACTTCAGAGACGACTCTACGGAACTTATACTTTCCTAATATTCATGTAATAATCTATATAGGTCCCGATTAATCTCCCAATACTTGACTCTAACTCTAATGCTCAGTCTTCCCGACTAAAACTCTAGGCAAGACCCTGGCTCTATACGTCTGTCTAAAACAACGATTGATAATATACTAATTTATTGATACAGGTAGATATGGGTTGACCGGACTAGCCGGTCAGGGTCAAACAGAAACATTGATAATAGATTAGCAAAACATAGATAATAAAGATAGTATACTAGCATAGCCCCAAAATTTATTACATTTATGTAAACTTAATCCATTCTTTGCTTCAATATTTAATTTTTCTAATCATTAAACAAATATTTGGAATTCAAAAATGAAGCTTTTGCTTTTTCAAAATATGAATTCTATTAGATCAAATAGTTACTGTTTGCAAATTTCAAAGGTTTGTAAGGCTGAAAATGAGAGTTATTTGTTCCTAAATGGGAAATATTTTTATTTCTGGAAGAAAATAGAAAATTTCTTATATTAGAAGGTTGTGGAATTGGGATATCCAATAATGAAGAAAAACACATGACAGTAAAGCAAACATTTTTAACCATTTAATTTTTATCTATTTTTGTGAAACAAACGATAAAAAAATTTGATATAGTTGGTGGAAGGTTTAACCAAACCAGATTGGATACAAACGATGGAGACCACTTTTTCAGTAAATATATTTCGACATTTTTATGATGTCCTCATTAGTACTAAAACAAAAACAATATCAAATAATTACAGAATTAAAACATGTATACAATTTATAACACTTTAAATTTTTACCTATAGGTTGGGGAGACACTGGTCAATTGATTAGATTTGAAAACATTTAAATCGATATGAAATGGGGTGGAGGGGGGGGGGGGGGTTGCTTTGATTGAGTCGGAAGGATATGAAATTAAAATAGGGGAAGGGAAGGTACTTCTTTGTCTTGAACTAGAATTTAATACTAGTCTAAACTAGAAATTCAAAACATGTATTTACACTAGATTTAGGACAAAACATTTTTTATAAAAAAAATCGGAGTAGTTTGTCTAACCTATCGGCGTCGCTTGGTTTGGACAAGTTGGATCAAGATAATTTAGAGTTAGAGGCTGTTAATGTTACTTTAAGTGATCTTTCAATGGTACTCTTTATAGGACTAGGGTTAACTAGCTCAAGCATGTCCGTCGTTGCCCGTGGAAATTAAAACAAAACGAATATTAAAAAAGAAAATTTTTGCCTATGTAACCCCCAAGGAACCCATGGGTTCCCTCAGAAAGTTTGCCAATTTGGTTCTGCCGTCTGGCCAGCTATATTTAACATAAATACATTTATATATAAATGAGCGAAGAACTTTATTATATAGATTAATGGTGAATAATTCTAGGCTATACCATGATTTATTTGATAAAAATACTAGGATATTCACCAAACCTCTTCTCTTTCTTCTATCTATCTATCTTCTTATCAGAATTTTGAAATAATGTATACCTACTTATTATCATAAACATTTTACAAGTTTTACATATTTACACTATTTTGATGTTTTGTGTTAAATTGAAAACATAATAACTCCGTCAAGTAAAAATTTTAAGTGTTAATAATGTTTAGCTTGGGATACTACCATTATTGTGTTCACAAAATTATGCCAGGTGGAATATTAAAGGAACTGTAAACGTAAACACAAATGACTCCTTTACATGCCAAGTGGAATATTAAAGGAACTGTAAACGTATACACAAATGACTCCTTGACATGCCAAGTGGAATATTAAAGGAACTGTAGACGTAAACACAAGTGACTCTTTTAAATGCCAAGTGGAATATTAAAGGAATTGTAGACATAAACACAAGTGACTCTTTTACATGCCAAGTGGAATATTAAAGGAATTGTAGACATAAACACAAGTGACTCTTTTACATGCCAAGTGGAATATTAAAGGAACTGTAAACGTAAACACAAATGACTCCTTTACATGNATCTTCAACTATGAACGTTTTGTTTACATGCCAAGTGGAATATTAAAGGAACTGTAAACGTAAACACAATGACTCCTTTACATGCCAAGTGGAATATTAAAGGAACTGTAGACATAAACACAAGTGACTCTTTTACATGTCAAGTGGAATATTAAAGGAACTGTAGACATAAAGACAAGTGACTCTTTTACATGTCAAGTGGATTATGAAAGGAATTGTAGACGTAAACACAAATGACTCCTTTGCATGCCAAGTGGAATATTAAAAGAATTGTAGACGTAATTTTAAGGGCCAGATTCACAATGGTGCTCTCGAAA